GTTTCTAACGGCAGTTTTAAAAACAAACTGAAAAACTTGCTAAAGGACGCTCAGAACTGGAACCATCAGTGTCTTTTTAATTTGCATTGTATGTGAGTGTGTGTCCGTATGTGCTTCTACGAGTGTGTGTGTAATGTGCTTCACTGTGTCATGTATTTTATAGTCCATATAATAATCATAAATAATAATAATAACAATTATAATAATCTTTGCGGGCTGCAAGGTGGCACAGTTGGTAGCACTGTTGCCTCACAGCAAGAAGGTCGCTGGTTCGCATCCCGGTGGGGGCACCGGGATCTTTCTGCGAGGAGTTTACATGTTCTCCCTGTGCAGCGTGGGTTCTCTCCGGGTTCTCCGGCTTCCTCCCACACAGTCCAAAAACATGTTGAGGTTAATTGGTGATTCTAAACTTTCCGTAGGTGTGATTGTGAGTGTGCTTGGTTGTCTGTCTCTAAGGGTGGCCCTGTGATAGACTGGTGACCTGTCCAGGGTCTCCCCTGCCTTCACCCTAAGTCGGCTGGGATAGACTCCAGATTTAAATTATGTAAAAATATCAGCATTGCCACTTTAAAACTGCTCTGTGCAGCTCTGTTACTATTTTAGCATCTTAAAGCTCATTGTTTTGATTTTACGGCCTACAAGCTTGCCGTTTAGGCTCACCAACATGGCTCTCATAATATCGTTTTCAATCACAACAGGGCTTTTTTTTTCAAAGAAACGGACACAACCTGCACCTGAGTATAGCTGAGTATTAAACTAAAGAGCCAGATGCTTCCATCAGGGGTTGATAGTGGCCAAAAGCAGAGCTAAAAAAGAGTAATCGTTGGACTTAAATTCATAAGGGGGACACCAACACGAGTCCAGAGGAAAGATAATGGGTAAATAGGCAGCTGTTTTTCATCCTGTTGGTTTCTATACAGTGGCATATGACTGCTTTTAGCTATGTAACGTTGACCTGGCACACTTCATCCATATCCTTATTTAACTCCATCAGGTCTGAACTGGACTTACCCCAGTTTCTTCAGCTGAAGACAGAGACTACATAACGTTCCACCAGCCTACATACCTCCTCCACACAGCCAACCAGACACACACTCCGCCTCCTCATGTTACACACTTATTTTATTACCTCGTTTTCACTTTGTGCCCGGTGGAATTTCCGCCGCTTGCAAAATGCCAGAGCAGAACTTGGCACACTCGAGAAAGTTTTCAGCCTCAGGAAGCAAGTGTGTTTCATAATGTGTGTAACGGATTTCTGGTTGAGTTTGTCAACTGTGAGAACAGCAGATATAATGATTGTGAAGCTGCTGATACTGTGTGTTGTTACAGCCTCACTGCCATCAATTAGAACCATGTACTTTGACCAAACCAAGCTTTTTTTTCTGACAGTAAGCATGATTGGTGAACAGTTAAGGGAAACAACAGGCGTTTAAATCACAACTTTATTTGAGCTAGACCTGATTGAGGCTAAAAGGAGGTCACATTCAATAGACTTAGGTTCCTTCATCACAGAGCAACAAGACTGGGTTCACCAGATCTGTCCCAGTTCACCAACAGTAACAGGGCATGAACATTGTGATGACATGTTGTTAATTTAAAGCAGCAGCTAAATCTCTCTCAACTGTAGTTCTGATCTAAGATATAAAATTTGAGATTCTGTTTACTGAAGGAATTCAAACTATGATCATTCCTGCATAGCTGGATACCAAGATTACACATTTTTACCATCATTCACAATCTGAGGATGGAAACAGTCCAGACAGGGTAGAACAAGAACTGAACACTATCAGAGGAGAATCTGAAAGACTCTCAAACAAGCTCTGAATGCTGCAAACTGGTTTGGGCAATGGGATTTGAAACATGTGATGTTTCTCCAATTTACAGCCAGAAGCTACATTCACCAGTGTTCAGATACGACTATTATAGAAAATAGTTTTCCCTAGAAGGTGTGCCTGATCAAAATGTAGGCTAAAAAATAGATTTTTTTATTTGCTGTAACTTGTTTTGACCAACCATCTATCACCCTGGAGAGTTTACCTAAAATACTCTTTTGAAAGTTTTTCTTGGTGAATAAGAAACCAGATGCAAAACAGATTAAAGTGCTGCAGTTTCGCTGTTGAAACTGTGACATATATCCAATGATACTGATGCTCAGTTATCAAAAATGAGATTTTTACTTTAGTTTGTGATACCTGTCGTGGATGTAAAATTGATTTGGTTACAGTTTTTTAATAGAGCTCAAATATGTTTTTCAGGACACAAAAATGTATGCATCAGTCTCCTATTAACTATTAGGGCCTAAAAATGAATTAGAAACACAAAATTTGGATCCACCTTTTGTGTTTCAAAGACCTGCAAGTCTAAAAATGAGGGGGTGAAGGTAAAATGTCACATTGCTTCATTAAAGTTTTTGGAGTTTTTTTTTTTTTTTTTTTTTTTTTTTAATCAGCTCTTTCTGAGGAACACTGATGGATTGTTTCTGCATGGATTGACCCAAAAGACCCGTATAGGTTTAGGTTTTTTACTTCTTCCCAGCAGGCACTGGAACATACTGTTGTGTACTGAGCTTGTCATCTGTGACTATGATCTGACAGAGCAATGCAGCATTAATGATATCTTGTTTTTTCATCTACGCAGACTAAAATTTGAATGTCTTTTTTTATTTTTTATACTGCTTTTGAAGTTAGATTGTTTTTTTAGTTTCTACATTCTCATGAATCCTTCAAAATAACTTATCGAGTTCTTAGTCTGTTATCTCTAAATCAGTCATTGGCACCGACATTCATTTACATGTATACGAGACAAAAAAATCCCTCACAGGAACATTGCTTCATAGCAGAACGAGAGGTCAGAAGTTCCACCTTCAAGCAGATAATCTTTTGTCTTTTCTCCAGCTCGTACAATAATTTGACACCAGCTGGCTGAAATGAACATTTTTTAAGCTTTTTCCAGAAGCTCAGTATATTAAAGCTACAGTTGAAACTATTTGCAGCCGTTCAGATTGAACAATTATGAAGTATATCTGTTAAAATTTCATTATATATACAAACATTCTCCTCTCCAATGTGAGGATTTGCTGCTTTCCAAGGTTTGATGTCCAGACAGTGAGGTAAATCAGAGCACCAGCATCAAGACCTCTGGATGTCTGAGCTGTAAAGCACATATTTGTTTTCCACAGCCTGTAGAGCAGTCCTCATATATTATTACGTTGTAGCAGTATTGATCAGAGCGTCTCTGTAAGTGGAAGCTTGTGTGTTGACAGGATGCAGCAGCCCCAGTAGAGTAGTTCTTGAGCATTTAAAATGATGTGTGGTGAGATTGATGTTTGATTATGGCTGTTGCTTACATACAAGATGAAAAACACATTCACTGGCTGAAGAGAGGAGTCATATTTTCTAAACTTTAATCCAAAACTTGCACAGAAATATTGACAACAGCCGGAGGTAAACAGTATACTGGAGGATACTGAAACCTGCAAATAAAGCAGCAGTGACACGTGTTTATCTGCAGCTAAACAGCAGCTTTGTGGTTGTATTCCACATTATTGATGCGTCATGTTTCAGATACTGCCCGTCTCGACTGTCTGCCCTCAGAGTCGCCATTATCAGATCTGTGCAGTGTTTGTTTTTATCTCTTTGTCCATGTTGGCAGTGGGTCAGATATTGCACTGTGCTCACATGAGTATGTCAAAACAAGTCTGTTTTTATCATTTTAGTTGAAAACAACCAGGTTCAAATGACTTAATATGCTGTTAATACTTGTTTTTTTATGTTGATTTAGAATCTATTTAGGCTAATAAGGCTAACAGGTAGCACACACCATGCATTGTGGGTTTTATCTACAGATTTATTAGTTTATCTACAGATAAGGTGCATCGTACAAAACAGTAAAAATTAAATTAAGTGGTTAGTGCCTACCTAAAGTGGTCCAACAAAGGACAACTGGACAGCAGGAGACAGGATCATGGACACCCAAAGATTATGGATTAGCAGTGAAGACTGACCCCAGGGCTCTGATCTCAGGGAAGAGCTACTGTAGCACAAAAGGCTGAAAACCCTCATGCTGCCATGATAGAAAGGTGTAACACACAGAACATAAAATAACCACAACGAGATGCAAAATGACAACAAAGAGACATTAAACAACCACAAATAGATGCAAAACAGTCACAATAAATTACAATATAGCTGTAAAGGGACACAAAGTGACCATGACGAGCTGCAAATTGACACCAAAGACCCAATAAACAACCAGAAAGAGACACAAAATGACAACAGAGAGACATAAAACAACCTCAAATAGATGCAAAACAGTTCCAAGGAAACACAAAATAACTACAAAGAGACACACAATGACCACAAAGAGACGTAAAACAACCACAAATACATGAAAAATAAAGTCACAATAAATCACAAAATAGCTATAGACACAAAGTGACAACAAAGTGACATAAAACAACCACAAATACATGTAAAACAGTCCCAAGGAAACACAACATAACTACAAAGAGGCACAAAATGACATACCTAACTAACCTATCAGTGTTAATATGTGCTATCTGAAGTTCTAAATGATGCAGAAGTTATAGAATGTTGTAAATATGCAGTTGTTGCAGCTGCTGGAGTTCAGCCTGTTGCAAAGCCACTTTCCTAATGTGTATCTGTTGTGTATCTGGTTTGCTGCTGCTCTAGAAACGAGGGTGGTAGAAAAATGGAAAAAAGAATTAGCTCAACAGCACTGTGGTCTGATGGGAGGAAGCTTCTTTCACGTAATTTCCCGTCTGTGGTCGCCCCTGGGACGAGTTACTGAGCTGAATTAGATGCTTCAGTGTTAGTGTGGATGCAGATGCAGCTGAGGGAGTGACGACTTTGCTGCAGCAACAGATCAATCAAGCCTTTGTTTTTCTTTTAAAAATATGTTGGTGAGTTTGCTCTGAGAATGCGGTTTTGGATGGAGAAGCTGATTGTTGCTTCTTATTAATGCATGTGTTTCTCCAACAGGGGATGGGAGCTTCGTGCTCCTCGGCGGCACCTCCTGAGCGAGCCGCCCCCAGCTCGGGGTTGTACAAGCTGGACATCGAGCTGAAGAGGGGACACAACCTGGCCATCCGAGACAGAGGAGGTGCAGTCACATCTTTCTTCTCTCGTCTCTTCTCTTTTATGGATCCATGACAGCTTTATTTGTCTCCACAGGCACCAGTGATCCCTATGTCAAGTTCAAGCTCGCAGGTAAAGAGGTGTTCAGGAGCAAAACCATCCATAAAAACCTTAACCCAGTGTGGGATGAGAAGACAACGTTAATAGTGGACAGTCTGAGCGAGCCACTGTATGTGAAGGTAAAGACCTGGACGCCCTCACACTGCTCTTCCATAAGAATTCGTAATGAACAGGAGTCTGTTGATGCTCTCCTGCAGGTGTTTGACTACGACTTCGGCCTTCAGGACGACTTCATGGGTTCTGCTTTTCTTTATCTGGAGTCTCTCGAGCAGCAGAGGTTGGTCATGTTTCCCTTTTACAAACAAACCAGCTCATCCTAATACAATAGAATAGTGTGCAGAGTAATTTGTATATAGTTAAGCTACTGAGAGGTCGCCTTACAGTAATGAACCCACACACATACAGTATTAGATATCCAAAAGACAAGTCTCCTGATTTGTTGTGTTCGTTTTGCATTTCTCTGGTTACTTGGTCCTGGTCATCATTTTGTGCTGGTCTGTGGTCGCTTTGTGTCTCTTTGTGGGGTTGCTTTGTTTTGTTTGTGGTTATTTTTTATTTTTCTTTGTGGTATCCAATGTCGTCTTATGGCAAACTTTTTAAAAAAATGGTGAAATTCAGGGCTGCAAGGTGGCGCAGTTGGTAGCACTGTTGCCTCACAGCAAGAAGGTTGGTGGTTTGCGTCCCGGTGCGTGGAGTTTTCATGTTCTCCTCGTGCAGCGTGGGTTCTCTCCGGGTTCTCCGGCTTCCTCCCACAAGACCAAAACATGTTGAGGTTAATTGGTGATTCTAAATTGTCCGTAGGTGTGAATGTGAGTGTGCTTGGTTGTCTGTCTCTAAGTGTAGCCCTGCGATAGACTGGTGACCTGTCCAGGGTGTCCCCTGCCTTCACCCTAAGTCAGCTGGGATAGGCTCCAGTCCCCCCGCGACCCTAGTGAGGATTAAGCGGTGTATAGATATTAGATGGCTGGATGGTTAAATACGGAAAAAAAAAAACATAAAAAAATGTCAAACAAAAATCTTTAGTCAATTTAAAAATTATTTAAAGTGTTAAAAAACAAAACTAAGAACCATCATATACATGTAAGGCTGATTAAATAACACAAAGAAAAAATAGAGAGAGATCAAGCTAAAACAAGAGATGATGTGATAACATAAAAAAAGTATGTTAAATACAAATACAACAATTAGAAAATGTATTAAACTATAAGTAATATTATTAGTGTATAAAATGTTGAATGTATACAAGTGATCAGGTTAATAAAATAACATGCAGAATACACACATACATACGTACATACGTACATACATCAACGAAATAGAAAAAGAGAAAATGCTAAAAAATAAATAAATGCATTAATATGGAATAACATTTTTAAAATAATTTTTTAATTAACCCTATTCAAGACTTTTGGGGTCTTTTGGACCCCAGGCCATTTGATTTAGGTGACGGGTATTGCTTTTTATTTTTGAAGATTTTTTGTTTTTTTTAATATAAAAAGAGGGATATTTGTCATGCATTTGGAACCAAAAAATACATCAACTTATCAGAAAATGTATTTAACGTAGTATAAAAGTCTATAATGAATACCAGCAAATATTTAGCACATATTCTCATATTCTTTCTTGGGGACCCCGAAAGACCTTCTACGTATGACAACAGGAAAGTCCTGAATAGGGTTAAATAAATTTTTTTTAAAAAGTTGTCATAAGTTGTCATGTTAATTAAAAACTAAAAAAAAAGGGGTAAATGAAGAATAACTAAAGAGAGAAAAAGAATTAAAAAAATACTACATAGATTAATCAAGTAGAGAAACAAATATTTAAAAAAGACTTAAAATAAAAATCTGTACAATAATGATAAATGAAAAACAATGAAAACAAATAGCTGTAAACAAGTGACTTGACTTGTTTGTTTACTTGCATTTACACAGAACCATGAGGTTTCTGGTGTGAGAGTGGAGTGCTTTGTATGCCCACCATCCACCCAGACCACCTCTGACTCCTAAACAGTTTTGCTTGAACATCATTTGTGGAAGACAATGATATAAGAACTTTTCAGGTAGGTAGCAGCTCTGATTCATACCTGTGTGTTACAGAACGATACCTGTGACTCTGGTGCTGAAAGACCCTCATTATCCTGATGAGGATCTGGGCAGTCTGGAGCTAGCCGTCACCCTCACGCCTAAAGACAGTCCCATCGAAGACAGACGAGACTCAACGGTATGTACACTGGTCATCATACATCCTGTCTCTCACATTTAATCTGACATGTGACCTACGAACAGCGACACAACTGTGATGTTATGCTGAAGAAAAGTGAATTATTGCAGTCAGGACTCAGTCATCAAGGGAAGCAGTGAACAGCTTAAAGCTGTAAATAGTTGTTACATGACCATTCATTGCCTTAATGTATTCTATATTTTACATTCCAGAATTGTGTCAGACTAACCTTTAAAATCTGCTTCTATCTTTATGAAATCTGGATATTTGTAGAGATGTGCGACCAGTGATGGGGGTCATTATTTGATTTTTGTAATTGGCTGCATTATCCCTATTAAACAAAATCAATCGGGGCTGCCAATCGTGACCAAATACGACCTTTTCACCTTTACATCACATACCTAATCAATAACAAAGCAATCACCAAAATGACACCAAGAACTTAATATGACAGAAACCAAATTTGGCAAAAATCTATCAGATTTTGTCATTTTAGTCATTGTGCCCTCTGCTTATTTGGACGGGGCGGGGCTTTTAGTTATGGAAAATTACTGCATTTTCATGTCATGATTACTTTCTCTGATTTTAGGGGGAAAGTTTAGTTTTGTTTTATAGTGGGTGCCCTAGTATCCAGAAATTTCAGGGCTTTTTGCAGTTTTTTTTACAGTGTGTAGTTGGAAAACCTTAAATGTGGCTTTTAAAAAAGAAAATGACTTGACGAATAAATACTACAATTAAATCATCTCAACCTTCACTCAATCTGTCAGTCAACTAATTTAATAATCAAATAATCAGCTTCACCTCTACTGTATTTATTGGGAAAGCCAATAAACAATAAAATAGTCAAATAAATATAAACTGTAAAACTGTGCTATAAATTGCCCTGAAAATGATAACAAGACTGTACAAACAGCTCAAATTTGAACATAAGTACAGTACTTGAGTAGAAGTACTTTGTTACTTTGAAGCACTGTGTGTAGCAGACATACTTTTTCATTAGGTTTCTTTTTTACTTTATTGTCATTCAATTATTACATTAAAAGAAATTAAAATACACTTAGAATGAAATTATGAGCACAGGTCACAGACACAATAAAAAAACAGAAAAACCTGGAAGTGGTAAAAGGCAAAGACGGGTACCTGAATAAATAAAGTTAGAAACTGTTTCAGATTGCACTATGGGCCTAAAAAATAAATCAATCAATACTGAAACCAGTATTGCACTGCAGAAATAAAACATATTATACCACAGACAAATTTATTGAACTGTATAAACGACCACACCAAATGCGTCTTTGTGTTTTGTGCAGCAGCAGAACGCGGTTAAGACGTATCGGTGGAAGCCGTATGTGACTAAAGTGAGTGTAGCGGTGATTAGGCTTCTCCTGTAGCCTCACCCTGATCGACCCTTTATTCTAGTCTAGTGAGGAGCTTCTTCCTTATCAGTCGCAGTAGAGAGCAAATTAGGTTATTTCCATCTAATAGACATTTATTAGGTGTCTTTGTTCTCTGTTATACAACCGCTACAATTCCAGTTTTTCTATCTTATCTTTTATATTGACTTTTAGTCTAGTTGCTGTAGGGTTTCTTTAAAGGTTTTGTCTTCATTTTTTTGACTTCATCTTGTCTCAGCATTCCTTATGAATAAAATAAAGATCAACATAAATTATAGAAACTATTACAACATTTCCACTCAGCACTACTCTCAATGTGGTGCAAAATGAATTAGTTGAAATTAAAAGAAAGAATGAAATCAGAGTTTCCATCCAGCAGCTCACTTCAAGTAAAATCAGACTGATGATTTTGGAGGAACAAAATCAGTCAAAATAAAAACAGCAGAGGCTGAAATTGTCTTAATAGTTTCAGTTTCAGTCCTGAAGTGCTCGGCAGCATGTTTTCTTTTTGTCCACTGCTTTGTAGAAACCCACATCTTGAAACCTGAGTCCACAGATGTTGCTAACATTGGAAAGAACGATGACGCTACATGCGATAGATATTGAACTATTTGCATTTTTACAGTTTCTCCAAGCTGTTGCTGGCTGATGGTTGCCAACGTAATTAGAAAACGGATTTAATGTTAAAATCTAAACACCACTTAACTCATCTAAACACACTATTTTACTTTTTAAATGTGATTTTCAGTTGTCTTTGGATTCCCCAAGGGTCTATTCCACATCATACTGTTAGTATTTTCTGAAAATATTAGAAAATTATTTTAAAACTAATTATATTTTAAAGACAAGGCTGGTATCAAATGCAGGATCCTGTATTTTGTTTTGACCAGGCATATATCCCACACACTGATATGACCCTTAAAAGTTGAACAAAATGCACTTTTTAAAGTTTTCTTTGGTGAAATATCACAAAACAGAAAAAAAACATCCAGGCTACCAGTGATGGTTTTTATGACTCTTTGTTACTGACATTAAACTGCTGCATTTTTGCTGTTTAAAATATAACTTATCCCAAAATACAGATGCTCAAACCTGTTATAAAAAAAATAAAAAAAGGGCTGCAGCAAAAAGCAGATGCAGCGGATGTAAAATTGGTTTGATGCAGTTTAACAGAACTCAAATGTTTTTTTGTGAAAATTTATTGTGTTTATTCACTCATGAAATTATGAGGACTGAACACTGAAAAATAATTTGAATTAAAAGGCACCAAATTTGGACCCACCCCTGTGTACTTAAAGGCCCTGCAACTCTGAAAGTATTCATAGTACGAAGGTAACATTTTGCATGGCTTCATTAAATATACATAAATTATTGTACCTTAAAGAATCAGCTGATTCTGAAGGGATCAGGTGGGAGGCACTGATTAGTTTTCCATGGAATGACATCTCTCCAATATAACTGCAAATTCAGAGTTTAGATGATGTACATTCCCTGAGCTTTCAGTCGTTCATGGGAAGCTTCTCTTTCTTGCATCATGTAACCCAAAGGTCTATGTTTCACCTTTGACCACCGTGATTTATCAAATTTGAAGCAATTTGGGGACATTTTTGCATTTTTTTCACTGGTGGACAGCAGAAGTTAAATTAGATTTTCCTGTAATTTACTGGAACTTTTAGATCACATCATGAACTTGAATACATTTCAAGTGGAGCATGTTCTGTTAAAACAGCTGCACGCTGTAACAAAAGCTGCTATGAACATTTCAGATGTGGGCTGGACAGCAAAAGAAGCTGAGCTAAAACTGATTTACACTACATTGTTGTTATAAAGGTATTCATTATAGCCACTTTAATCATAAAATAGTCTGCACTGATTAAATTTCATAATAGTTTTCATGTGTATTTAGCTGCGATTACAGTTTCCGCACAGTTTCCTTGATTATTATGACAGAGTGGTTTCCAAATGTCTCCTGAGCTCTAAGATATTAAGCACAGCATGTCTCATTCATGTTTTATTCAGTGTATAAATTAATAATAGGCCAAGTCTTAGTCTGAGCTGCAGCTCCGCTCAGAGAGATAAATAAGAGAGAAAAAGATGGAGGAATTAAGATTTGGGAAACAAACAACAACAGAAGAATGAACACAATGAATCAGGCGTCTCAGATAGATCAAAGTCTTATTAAAGCTAATGAGCACACCAGAGAGGCTGCAATAATGAATGCTGAGTACTGGTGGAGAGCATTTTTCACTGTTGGAATCTATTTTTGGATGCTTTATTCATGAAGCTTAATTGAAGTAGGACACCTCCCCTTCATCATGTGTTTTAGCTCCTTGTAGTCAGAAGTAAACCTGTCCTATAGCCTCCTCTAGTGGCTCATAAATGACGGTGTATCAGTTAAAGGAAAGAAGCTTCTGACTGCTTTCTTTTTCTTTTATTAACCCTCTGATCTCCAAACAATTTCTGGGTATTTCTTTGCTCCTGTCACATTTTGACTCACTGTGTGCTCTTTTTTTCCTGTAAAATAAAGTCCTGCACCTCAATAGAAACAGAACAACCATGAACAGAAGTAGAGAGTAACAGTTAGAATGACCTACATCATAAAGAAAAACAAAACAAAACAGAATTGACATTTTTTTGATTACTTGTTTTACAAAACATACATGTATTGATCCAGTATGTTTTATTTTCCTCTCAGTCTCTGTTGTTGTTGCCTTTCTACTCTGTGTAAGCAATACCGGCAGTTCAGTTGAAAATTCTTAAACTTTGTCCAATATGACCTAGAAATTGTCCGGGATGGCTCAAATTTTGTCCAAAGTGTTCCACAAATTGTTCAAAATGACACAGAAATGGTCAAAGATGACTCCAAATGTGTCCAGAACAACCCCAAAATTTGAGAATGAGTCCAAATTTGTTCAAAATAACTCAAACCTTGTCCAAAATTACTCAAAATGTGTCCCAAATAACCCAAAATTGTCCATAATAACTCAACTTTGTCCAGAATGATTTAAATATTGTCCAAAATGTTTCACAAATTGTTCAAAATGACACAGAAATGATCCAAAATGACTTAAAATGTGTTCCAAATAACCCAAACTTGCTGAGAATAACTCAAACTTTGATCTACTCGAAATGTGATTTAAAATTGGTATTCACGTCTTCTCTCTATAAATACAGTCACTGCTTGCACAGAATCTTTAGTTTCATGCACAGTTTGTCTTGTGCAGTGGTTTAGTTTTGACAAATTTTAAATGAGACATGAAGAATTAAGTGATATTAAAGATATATTTGGATAAATTTAGCCACAAACATTTACTACGTCACACATGATACATTTCAGAATCGTCTGAAGGTTAAAAGTCTGACAATTCTTTGTGGTTTTACAATTCCTGGCTGATAAATAGTGTGGTTTTGGTTAAAAAAAAAAAATTAAACATAACATACCTTTCAAACTTGAGATTTGGGGTTCAGAGGGTTAAAATGCAGACACTTGTAGCAGCCCTGTAGTTACAGTCTTTAACCCCTGCAGGAGTCAGTTGAAATAATGTATTTTAATGTATATTCAGACTATGCTGCTCAGGAGGTCCTGGAAACGATCCACTAAGGTAAATCCCCACCACCATCATCATTGTCGTTGTGGTCGTCTGTGTGCAGTCGCAGCTTTTCATGAACTGTCGTGATGCCTTCACGTTCATCACTCTTCAGTTTATGGTGTCTGTATTTTTGAAACCACTTTTCCGTCTTGTGCCAAAGATTTTTTTTTTTTTTTACAGTTCAATACATGCTATGTATTGAGATCCTTAAATGTTGTTGTCATGTGTTGTTGCTGCTGCTGTCATTTCTAGCGGGGCTCTGTTCTTCAGACAAGACGAACGTGATGTTATCAGGCTCAACCGATCAAGCAACTTTCTCAAGTACAAGTTAGACAATTGATTTCTTGAACTTATATTATTGTCAATAAATTCCATTGGAAGAGTAGCAAAAAAAACAAATTCAAAACACAGTATACCAAAATGACTAAAAAAAAAAATGTAAATAAAAAGACAATAAAATAATGTGAATAAGGAGTTACAACACAATAAGAGATGGAGTCAGTGTGTCGAGCTCTGCTTGAATCTAATGCCAACGAGAGGTGCTGCTTTGGGACCATTATTAGACTGCTTTAGGACTAGGTTTAGATTGCTTTAAAGAGATTTTTGGACTTGGTTCCAGACTGCTTCCGGATATAATTTTAGATTGGTTTTAGACTGCTTTTGGATGTGGGTTTGGGTTGATTTACACTGGTTTTAGGTAGTTGTTGGACTTGGTCTAGGACTGATCTTAGACTAGTTTTGGGGTGGCTTTGAACTGGTTTTGGACTGGATCTTGGTTTTGTTACAGACTGGGGTTGGTCTTGGTTTGTAGACTACTTTTGGACATGATTTTAGACTGTTTTTGTACTTTGTGTGACGACTCGTGCTCGTGATAGTGCGGGTGGACCCAAACGAAAAGGGAGACGGGGTGAAGGGTTAAAGGAAACAGGATTTATTAAGGGAAGGTGGTGGAGTGATGGGCACCAGGAGGCAGAAACATAGTCCGGAGAAGGGGTGCCGGTCGTGGGGGATGCCGAGGGTGGTGCGAGGAGGTCCGGTGCTCGTGCGTGCCTCTGTGGAGGTTTTCCTGGTGTAGAGAGGGAGCCGTGACGAGGGAAACCGGGGTGGTGCGCAGGGGTCCGGTGCTCAGGGTTCGGTGCTCGTGGGGGGGTGCTCTCGTGAAGGTGTCCGTGAATTCCCGTGGGTGACAAACGCTGGAGTGCTTGAAGGTGTGCCGAGTGCTGGAGTCGAGGAGGAGAACCCGTGGTAGGTATCACAATCCTCTGGCGTCGGTCTTCTGTGAGACGCCAGTATTTAAGCTGGGCACAGCTGATGAGCCACAGCTGCCGGCGATCTCCCCTGATCGGCTCCGCCCAACCTGTAGTGAACAAAGGCACACCCACCAAAACCCAAAGACAGACAAAAACTCAAAAACCCAGTGAAACAAGAGTCTAGGATCCTCACACTTTGTTTTGAATGCTTCAATTTAGTCTTATACTGATTTTAGAACTAATTTTTAGGGTTAGGGTGGACTGGGGTTTAGACTGGCTTTAGACAGGTTTAGGACTTGGTTTTAGATTTGTTTAGATTTGTTTAGACCACTTCTAGATTTGCTTTTAGACTGCTTTTAGGCCTTGGTTCTAGATTGCTATTAGGCTTGGTCTTGGGCTGGTTTTAGACTAGTTTTGGATTGGATTTAGGACTAGTTTTTAGACAGGCTGTGAGATTTTAGATTTAGATTAATTTTAAACAAGTATAGGACATGGTTTTAGACTGGTTTTTAGACTTGATCTTGGACTTAGTTTTAGACTGCTTTTGGATGTGATTTTGGGCTGGTTTTAGGCTGTCTTTAAACTTGGTCTTTAGAAAATAAAAACTAAGAGTTAAAGTTTACAACACAATTAGAGATTGAATCAGGATGTCGAGCTTTATGTGAATGAGGAGCAACTCCATCATAAATGTTTTTGTTGCTGGATCTCAGAACATGTCAAGAGCATGTGGTTCTCCAGTTCTCTACCCAGGGTGTGATGAGCAGAGAGTTCTGCTAAATAAAGCGGCTCCAACCCAAAGAAGAAGATCACTGCAGGGTTTTGTTTTATTTTGTTTTGTTTATTTTCCAAAACATCGACTGTATGAAGTCAAAGGGCCAAGTGGGTCATCTAGAAGGGCCAGTAACAGCAAAGACTGTACTGTGTTATTACATTTTACTTTTATGGGCAGATAGCTCTGTATATCGTCTGCAAAACAATGAAACGGAATCTTTTGCTTCTTAAAAACCAACAATGAACGTTTCCTAGTATTGTGTCAGAGCCTGATGACTGTTCCTATTCCTCTGTGGCACAGAGTTCCATTGTTGTCCAGAAAACACACAAGTCTCACACACATCATCCTGCTGCCTAGAACACTCACTGCACCACCCACTGTGGATGAATTCATCACTGGAAATATCCCACATTAATGCATTTTTTGTTTGAGTGAATAATATTTGCAGTGGCCAACTGTTCTATTGAACTGCAGAGCCTCTTTTGAAAAACAATATAATCCTCTAAAATCACCATTTAGAATGGAAATTTTATACAATTTCTTTAACAAATAATAAGATAAAATAAGATGATTATTTATTAATACCCAGAGGGGAAATTTGGGCATTGCAACAGCACAAGACAGTGGCACACAAAGAATACCCATCAATGCATCATCTATACACCACTTAATCCTCGCTAGGGTTGCCGGGGGTCTGGAGCCTGTCCCAGCCAACATAGGGCGAAGGCAGGACAGGTCGCCAGTCTAATGCAGGGCTACACTTAAACACAGCCAACCATGCACCATTCACACCTACAGACAATTTAGAATCACCAATTAACCTCAACATGTTTTTGGACTGTGTGGGAGGAAGCCAGAGAACCTACGCTGCACGGGGAGAACATGTAAACTCCATGCAGAAAGATCCCAGGTGTCCTCACCGGGACACGAACCGGCGACCTTCTAGCTGCAAGGCAACAGTGCTAGCCACCACGTCACCTTGCAGTCCACACAAAGAATACAATAGATTAAATAAATAGATAGATAGATTAAATAAATAAATAGATAGATAGATAGATAGATAGATAGATAGATAGATAGATAGATAGATAGATAGATAGATAGATAGGTAGATAGGTAGATAGAAGGAAAAAAAAGTATGTACAACTGTTCAAAAGTTTAAGTGGCAATCTAAAATGACTTGGTGTGAGAGTATGTGTGTGAGCGTGTGAGAGAGTGTTTTTGTGTTATTGTTATTTTGTGTCTGGGGCTGTTGGATAATGCAATCATCGATTCAATGTTGAAATGAATCAAATACAGCAGCAACTTTTTTTCATGTGCTGATAAAAGTGTGAGGTGTTCTCTAAAAATGCAATTTTCTGGCAATGAGAACATAGAATAACAGCAGAATCATCCTTTAAATAGCTTTTCTTGTTTGTTGTTTTAAAAATTTAAAGTCAAAACAGGATCAGCTCTTATATAAATAGCTGAATTCTGTTTGTAAAATTTACATTCTCATTATAAAATTAAAAAAAACCCAACCTGTTTGGCCAGTTGGAGCTATGAGAACAGTTTTAAGTCTGGTATAAGAATTAGAATAAAATTAGAATTAGAATAGAATAAAACTTTATTGATCCCTTCGGTACAAGACCTCAGGGAAATTGCTAAATAATATAATAGCTTTCAACTGTTGTATTGTCTTCTATGAAGCTTCCTTTACAGTCCATTTAATAAATGCTTGTATCTTATGAAGGCCTCCTAACAGGCACACCAACAACTTTTGAGGACTACTTTTGCATTAGCTCATAATTTAATTTGAGTCCCCTGCAATACTTTTGTTACTTCACAAAATGTTTGCATTCCCTCATGGTATTTTTGCATTGCTTTTGTGCTACCTCAAGTAAGTTGTGCGTTACTTCGCAGTACATTTGCATTAACCCTATTCAGGACTTTCATGTTGCCATGCGTAGAAGGTCCCAAGAAAGAATATATGCAAAATATTTGTTGGTATTCATTATAGACTTTGAAACTATATTAAATAAATTTTCTGATAAGTTGACATATTTTTCATTCCAAATGCATGACAAATTTAAAAACAAAAAAATCTTCAAAAATAAAAAAAACAATACCTGCCCCCTCAACCAAATAGCCTGGGGTCCAAAAGACCTAAAAGTCCTGAATAGGTCTAACTTGTAATGACTTTTTCGTTACATCCTAATACTTTTGCTTTCCCTCGCAATACTTTTATGTAGTTTTACTCAATAAGATCTTAAGTCAAGACCTGTTCTTCCCCAGAGCTTTCTACTGCTTCTCCTGGTGTGCCTCTGCAAATGGAGCCTGCTTTGTTCTCATTAGAGCAAAAGAAACTCTTGAAAGCTCTGAAAACAAAAGTTGTAAGGGACCTTGAATTAGGATTTTTATTTTAAAGTACTATTTATAATCTCAAAAAAATAGTATTCGCTCTCTGCATTTAATGCATTTTAATGTGTTTTCCTATCCTGATCCATATGACATCATTATGTGCGTGCTTTGGCCTGATAACAGACAGAAGCATCTATATCTGTTTAGTTCCAACTTTGGATAACTATATTATAGGTATAGATCTTGTGACAAATTAATTCTGACAACGCAGTTGAACATTTTTTTATTTACCTTTGAAGAACATGAGTCCAAGCTTTAGTTAAATCATCACCATTCAGATGAAGAAGAGCAGAGCCCTGCATTATGTCTTTTCCCTTTGATCTGATGAATACATTTCAATGTGTGTGTGTGTGTTGTGTGTGTTGTGTGTGTCTGTGTGTGTGTGTGTGGACCAGCACCAGCAGTCAATACGTCTCTCAGAGCTGCATCGGAAGTCTCAGCTCTGGCGAGGGATTGTCAGCATTGCGCTAATTGAGGGTCGAAACCTCATCCCCATGGACCCCAACGGTCTGAGTGACCCATATGTCAAGTTCAGACTGGGACCGCAGAAGTACAAGAGCAAGGTACAGTAGCTCTGTTCACTGACGACACACTGTCATGAGGAGACAGGAGCGTCTGTAAGTGGTGAGTTGTGTGTGTTTGTGCAGACGGTGCCAAAGACCCTGAGTCCTCAGTGGAGGGAGCAGTTCGACCTGCATCTGTATGAAGAGACCGGAGGGATTCTGGAGATCACGGTGTGGGACAGAGACACCGGCAGGAGAGACGACTTCATCGGACGGTCAGTCGGTCTCTGTGCATTCAGATGCATTCTGATTGTTTAAAGCTTCTAAACGCCAGTCTTCCAAAATGTGTTCTGTCATTTAGAGCTTTGATGTCTATGGTGCAGAGCAGGAATAATGAATTCTTAAGGCCTGCAGTCTTAAAAGCACAAATATCAGCAGTTAGCAGCAACATTGATTCTGATATATTATTATCTTTTCTGCAGTCCCAGATTTAGAACAAACAAAACTGTTTAATTCTGGTTGTTTGTAGCCTTAATGTTGCTAGGCTGGTAAAGTCAGTCAGTACAAAAAATGGTTCCCGAAGTCCAATTAAGAAGGTCCTGATGGGTCATTCCACATATAGTTAACCACCTGACCGCTTCAGAATCAGGTGATTCTTTTACAATAACTTGAGTATAATTTCAATGAAGCTGTGCAAAATTTTACCTTCATACTATGAATATTTTCAGAGTCCATTAAAGTAAATAGTGGTGGGTCAAAATTTCACACTTTCATGTTACTTTTTCCAGCATTTCATTGGGCCATCAAAACTTCATAAATACGGGACACAAACACATGACATTTTCAGGGCTGAAAACACACATGTAAGCTAGTAAAAAAAAAATTAAAAAAAACTGCAACCAAATAATTTATACATTCATTCCAGGTGTCACAACGCCAAAATCTTTTCCCTATAATATTATGTGATGTGTGACTATATTAGAAAAAATATTTGACACAGAATGAGTCATGACTAGAAGGTCAGACTTGCTTCAAAATGTAGGTTTGCTATATTTTGTTTACACCAACCATATATCCAACACGCCAACATGAACCTTGAAAGTTTACCCAAAGTCCATTCATCCATCCATTATGTATACACCGCTTAATCCTCAAAAGGGTTGGGGGGGCCTGGAGCCTGTTTACCCAAAATGCCCTTTCTAAAGTTTTCGCCAGTGAATTTTTAGAAAACTAATGACACATCCAGGGTACCAGTGCTTGTTTGTTTGAGTCCATGTCATGGGGTGTGACATTTATTGGGTTGCGGTTAAGATCAGATCAAATGTCTTGTGTAAAGAGAATTAAAACATTAAAAAAGAGCAAAATTTCACCCCTTTGTACTTTAAGGACCTGTAACTAAAAATGGCTTTTTTAAAGACTCTTTACTTTTCAAGTTATTGTACAAAAAAAAATATATATATATATCTACTGATTCTAAGGGTCAGATTGGGGCTTTGCTGGATTTTTTACAGAATGACCCTGATGTGTTTGTATGTTTTAGAAAAAGTAAACTCTCTCTGCAGTGCCCCCTGGTGTGTTTACATGTAAAACAAGCTTCTAATTAACCAAATCCAATTTTTTTCCCCACACAAATACAGGACACAAAAAGTTATATACACTACAGATGTTTTGTAATTACTAAAAGCATCTTCAAAACTTCACCTTCGAACTACATGTGTACAGTAAAAACCATTTAAAGTCATTTAGATCTCCACAACAAAAATGTGATTTACAATCACAGCAACAAGTAAAAGTGTTTTCAGCCTGAATGTTAATGATAAAATTAAACACTTTAATGACAAAATAAAGTGTGATTTGGATTTCCCCAATAAAATACATTATATTAAGCTAGTAATAGTAGTGTGTTAAAACAGAATATAGTTATTTTTAATGCATATTCTGTCCAGACACAAGCTAGTAGTAGCTTGATGTTCCACACAAAGTATCTCCTTCCTGTTCCGCAATTCTTGTAATTAGATGTTTAACATTCATTAAAGGAGGTGCAGGTCATTTTCACTGAAATGATGCTGTTATGTGGGATGATCATTTTTTTAAATGACTTTAACTCAGTTTTGATTAAATGTGTAGTCGTTGAGCTCAGTGTGCCCGATCTGTTTGTGGTCCAGCTGCCAGTTGGACCTCTCCACTCTGTCCAAAGAGCAAACCCATCACCTGGAGCTGCCGCTGGAGGAGTCCCGGGGCTTTGTGGTGCTGCTGGTTACGCTGACTGCCTCGGCCGCCGTCTCCATCGCTGACCTCTCCGTCACACCGCTGGACGACCCACAGGAGCGCAGGGAGATACTCAAACGATACGTAAGCAGCAACCTGAGGACAATCTAGATGGAATATCTACAAAATGTAAAAACAAAATTAATCTTTGTGCTCATTCTTGTTCTTCAGGGCATGATGAAGTCATTCTCCAACCTGAAAGATGTGGGCATCGTGCAGGTGAAGGTGATGAGAGCAGAGGGACTCATGGCTGCAGACGTAACCGGTAATGGCAAAGTTAGATTTCTTGCCTCCTCCTCCTGCTCATCATGCTCTGTTGATGTACTTTTATGTGATTTATTATAAAGCAGCTGTGAATCTAATGCTCTCTCAGGTAAAAGTGACCCTTTCTGTGTGCTGGGGCTGAATAACGACAGACTGCAGACACATACTGTTTACAAGAACCTCAATCCAGAGTGGAACAAAGTCTTCACCTTGTGAGTCAATATTTCTCTGTCTCCATGTTTAATTATTTGTCTTGATAAAGAAAGTAGCAGAACAGCGTTAAGCAACTTTCAAACCTTAAAACCTGCTGATGGGTTTGAAAGGTATGCTGTCTTTAAGAATCACTCACATGACACCATTTATCAGCCAGAAACTATAAAAACTGAAAGACTCATTAGATTTCTTATGGTCCTTGAGCGAATTGTAATGTGACCATTCACTGGAAACATTAAACAAGTCTGAGCTTAATGTTAGGTTATTTATTTAAATGTACTTTGTTGTACATGTCTTAATCAGATATGTTATAAAAAAGTTCTTGTACTCACTACATTTTGTAAAAGAAAATAAATATTTGCGCTCCTTGATGCACTGTGACTCAACTGTGACAAACAGTTGTGTGACAAAAATACATGAGTTTTTGGCTGAACTGAGGGCAGGACGACAAGAGAGACTTGGAGAAAAATAAAAAATAAATGCAGCGTGGCACAAAAATAATATCCAGAGGAACAAGTTTCGTGAGGATACAATCGACGTGGTAACACATCTTTCTAGAGTTGATGACTTTATATTGGAGTGAAAAAGGACAGTCAGTAAAAATGTGAAAGCAGCAAAAAAAAGAAAGGGAAAACAAACAAACAAAAAAACAACGACCAGAAACGGATTGTTTTTAGGGTAAAGTGGCAAGTTTCTCCCTCATGATGTATCTGGTTTAACTCTTTAATTGGAAATTATGCTGACGTTAGATTTTTTTGATTTGTTTAGAGCACAGACTGGTAGTAATGTAGGTGGCACTGATCGTGACATGATTACTGGGTGTCATGATTATCCAATAGGAAGCCTCATATTATGTGTCAAAATGTATATTAAGAAATGATGCATGATATTAAAATTTCTGGCCAATGCCGGTATCCAACATTAAGATTTCTGATATTGCTGATAACTGATGCTACCGATGTCAATATTCAATTTTTGCTCAAACCGCAAAGGAGTGCAAGTAAGCACTGTGAGAATGTGAAAACTATTCAAAAGAAGCCCATACCACATTAGACCACATAGTCTTCTTTATTACGTAACAAAAGTAAAACATATTTAAACATATTTAAACATATTTATTGTTCAAGTCCAGGACCATTTAAGTAAAAATATCTGTGAAATAGCAGCAATATCAAATGCAGAGATGAAGGCACTAATGTTAGACAATCATTGGTTTTTCAGAATGGCTAAATTTGTTTATCGGCCAATACCGATACACACGTCGGCAAAATTCTTGGTTCCCCTCGGTTAATGAAAGAAAAACCCACAATGGTCACAGAAATAACTTGAATCTGATAAGAGTAATACTAAATAAAAATTCAATGAAAATTAAGCAATAAAAATCAGACATCGCTTTTGAACCGTGGTTCAACAGAATTATTTTAAAAAGTCTCATAAGTCTCAAAACTCATGAAACAGGCCTGGACAAAAATGATGGTACCCCTAGAAAAGACTGAAAATAATGTGACCATAGGGACATGTTCAATCAGGTGTGTCCTCTAATTGGCATCACAGGTGTCTACAAACTTGTAATCAGTCAGTCGGCCTATTTATAGGGTTACAAAGAGTCACTGTGCTGTTTGGTGATATGGTGTGTACCACACTAAACATGGACCAGAGGAAGCGAAGGAGAGAGTTGTCTCAGGAGATNCAGTTGTGTGACAAAAATACATGAGTTTTTGGCTGAACTGAGGGCAGGACGACAAGAGAGACTTAGAGAAAAATAAAAAATAAATGCAGCGTGGCTCAAAAATAATATACAGAGGAATAAGTTAAACATATTTCAACATATTCAATGTTCAAGTCCAGGACCATTTAAGTAAAAACATCTGTGAAATAGCAGCAATACCAAATGCAGAGACGAAGGCACTAATGTTAGACAATCATTGGTTTTTCACAATGGCTTAATTTGTTTATCGGACCAATACCGATACACACGTCGGCAAAATTCTTGGTTCCCCTTGGTTAATGATAGAAAAACCCACAATGGTCACAGAAATAACTTGAATCTGACAAGAGTAATACTAAATAAAAATTCAATGAAAATTAAGCAATAAAAATCAGACATCGCTTTTGTTTAACAGAATTATCTTAAAAAGTAAACTCATGGAACAGGCCTGGACAAAAATGATGGTACCCCTAGAAAAGACTGAATATAATGTGACCATAGGGACATGTTCAATCAAGGTGTGTCCTCGAATTAGCATCACAGGTGTCTACAAACTTGTAATCAGTCAGTCGGCCTATTTATAGGGTTACAAAGAGTCACTGTGCTCTTTGGTGATATGGTGTGTTCCATACTAAACATGGACCAGAGAAAGCACTTCTGCGTAGAGTTTGCATGTTCTCCCCGTGCAGCGTGGGTTCTCTCCGGGTTCTCCGGCTTCCTCCCACACAGTGCAAAAACATGCTGAGGTTAATTGGTGTGAATGTGAGTGTGCTTGGTTGTCTGTCTTGAAGTGTGGCCCTGCGACGAACTGGCAACCTGTTCAGGGTGTCCCCTGCCTTCACGCTAAGATGGCTGGGATAGGCTCCATCCTCGTGAAGTGTATAGATAATGGATAGATGGATGTTAAAGGTGAAGGCTATAAGAGCATCTCCAAGCAGCTTGATGTTCCTGTGACTACAGTTGCACATATTATTCAGAAATTTAAGATCCATGGACTGTAGTCAACCTCCGTGGATGTGGCCGCAGGAGGAACATTGGAAAAATGGAAGAGACGGATAATACAAATGGTACCAAAAGAGCTCAGAACAACCTCTAAAGACATTAAAGGTGAACTCCAAGGTCAAGGTACATCAATGTCAGATTGCACCATCCGTCGTTGTTTGAGCCAAAGTGGACTTCATGGGAGACGACCAAGGAGGACACCATTGCTGAAAACTAATCATAAAAAGCCAGACTGGAATTTGCCAAACTGCATGTTGACAAGCCACAAAGCTTCTGGGAGAATGTCCTATGGACACACGAGACAAAACTGGAACTTTTTGGCACATCAGCTCTACGTTCACAGAAACAAAAATGAAACATATCAAGAAAAGAACACTGTCCCTACTGTGAAACATGGAGGAGGCTCTGTTATGTTCTGGGGCTGCTTTGCTGCATCTGGCACAGGGTGTCTTGAATGTGTGCAGGGTACAATGAAATCCCAAGACTATCAAGGTATTCTCGAGAGAAATGTGGTGCCCAGTGTCAGAAAGCTTGGTCTCAGTCACAGGTCATGGGTCTTGCAACAGGATAATGACCCAAAACACACAACTAAAAACACCCAAAAATAGCTAAGTGGAAAACATTGGACTATTCTAAAGTGGCCTTCTATGAGCCATGATCTAATTTCTATTGAACATCTGTGGAAGGAGCTGAAACATGCCGTCTGGAGAAGGCACCCTTCAAACCTGAGGCAACTGGAACAGTCTGCTCATGAGGAGTGGGCCAGAATACCTGCTGAGAGGTGCAGAAGCCTCATTGACAGTTACAGACATCATTTGATTGCAGTGATTGCCTCAAAAGGTTGTGCAACGAAATATTAAGTTAAGGTTACCATCATTTTTGTCCAGGCCTGTTTCATGAGGTTATTTTTAAAAATAGTTCTGTTAAACCACAGTTCAAAAGCAATGTCTGATTTTCATTGGTTAATTTTCATAGAATTTTTATTTATTATTACTTTTGTCAGATTCAAGTTATTTCTGTGACCATCGTGGGTTTTTCTTTCATTAGCCGAGGGGTATTAACAATTTTGTCCACGTGTGTATATCGGAAAAAACCCTAATATCAGCCGAAACCGATGTGGTCTCTGATATATTGTGCATCCCTACTATTAAGTTGTTTTTTTAAAAAATCTGTCTTATGTAAGTTCTCATTCTCATTTAATGAAGTGTAGGACTACATTGCTGGAGAATTGCTGTAAAGTTTCTAATTCCTGCAAATTGTGGACGTTTTTTTTTTTTTTTTCTAATATTTTTGTTCTTGGAGCAGATTAGCAGTTCTCTGCTTCACTCCGAACCATTAATCCTCTTCTCTTTGTCATGTCGTTCCTTATTTCCTCAGTAATTTGAAGGACATCCACTCAGTGTTGGAGGTGACGGTGTTTGATGAAGACAGAGACCGGAGCGCAGACTTTCTGGGAAAAGTGGTCATTCCTTTATTAAATGTGAGTGCAACACAAGACAATGCACACTTAACCCTGAATGCATTTATAGGAAGGTTTAAAAAGGCTGTTAGAAGGGTACGGATACACTTAAAAGTGAGTAAATCCAAACTCTAACCACTTCTCTGTGTTAGATCCGTAATGGCGAGCAGAAGGGCTACGTGCTAAAGAATAAGGAGCTGACCGGCCCGACCAAAGGAGCCATCTATCTGGAGATCGACGTCATCTACAACACTGTGAGTGTTGCACAGTGCTGTGCAGTAAAGCAGACTGACTTCATGATGCTGACATCAGGAGGAGCTTTGCCTCCCTCATGGTGATCCATATGAATCTGAACGGCTGAACTACACAACACTTCTGCACCGTGCCGCTGATGTTTCTGTCTTTACCTTCTCCTCTCTTCCCAGCTAAACACTTTAAAGCTGTAATGTGGCCTCAATGTGTGTTTTTCTCTTCAGGTTAAAGCTGCTTTGAGGACTGTGGTCCCTGCAGAGCAGAAATACATGGAGGAAGAACCAAAAGTGTCCAAGCAGGTGTGGATTATTATTTATGGGGTCACTCCATTAAAAATCAGTCAGAACCTCCCACCTGAGAATCAGCTTATTTTTTATGTACAATACCTTTAGTATTAAAACTTCCTTTAGTTATGGGCCCTTGAAGTACACAGGGGTGGGTTGAAATATTGTACCTTTTAAATGACTTATTTCAGCATTTTTGAACTTGATTGAAATACATACGGTGAAGACATTAAACTTTCAGGGATGGAAAACTGATATACTGCAACCTCATCAATTTTAAAACCACTACAGGTGTCACAATGTAAGGCTACAATTTTTTGTTCAGCAGGATTTTTTCTATAACCAACGCTGAGCTCTAATATCATAGGTCCATTAAACTGCACCAGTTTAATGTTTATGACAGAGTCATGAAAACAAACATTGGTACTGTGGATGTTACAGAAGTGCATTTTGGGGGACTATCACCATGAGGGATAGGTGGTTGGTCAAAACAAGTTATAGCATTAGAAAGGTCTGTCGTGTGTCTGTCTCTTCGATTATGGAGTTTTGAGGCTCAGAAATGCTGGAAAAAGTACATTTTAAAGTGCAAAATTTCCATTTCCACATGTTGAGAGTTTAAAATGATAGAAACATGTTTACTTTGTGTCTTTCAGTTGCTCCAGCAGAACTTTAACAGGGTGAAGCGGTGCATCATGGTCCTCATCAGCTATGGGACGTATATCAACAGCTGCTTTGAATGGGAGTCTGCACAGCGGAGCATCTTTTCATTTGTGGTAAGAAAAGCACTGATACACATTCAATATGTATATGTTGTTGTGTTTTACTTGAGTGTCTTGCTTTTTGGCAGCTGTTTGTGGTGGTGGTGTGGAACTTTGAGCTCTACATGCTGCCTCTGGGCCTGCTGCTGCTGCTGGTCTGGAACTTCTTCTTCTCCTCCAGCAGGGATATGGCTGACGTGGTGAGATAACAAGCACAACATGTTTCAACCAGAAAGAGACACAAAATGACCACAAATAGACATAATATAGAAATAGAATAAAGTCAAATGAATCAAATGATTGTTGCCTTCTCTCCTGCTGCAGTCCATGGAGGCCATGTTCGAATGGGAAGATGAAGACGAGGATAAAGACGACAAGGTAGTGTCCTTATAAAACTGCTGCACATTCATGTCTGAAATTACAACTATACTTATGATGTGTTTACCCAGATAGAAAACAGCGTATACCACCCTATACAATATATTTACTGGTATCCTGAAAACTGATCACAGCAAGTGTCTGTTTTGATATCTGAATTTACAATTTACTGCAACCACTGACCTCCTCAATTTCCCAATATCTCTGCAGATCAGGGTTACATATTTATCTGTTTTTGTCATGAAAATAACCCCGTCAGCTTAAAATGATTTAACCTTTCATATCTACTCAAACCTTGTGGAACTACTCTACACTACACAACAGCAACTTGTAATACTGTACTAATTCAGCTCTACATGTTGGAACCAGAAACTGATTCTGAAGAAGAGTAATGACACAGCAAGTCCCACACCCTGCAAGCTGAAAGGATTGGTTCTTTCAGTGTGTTACTTATGAAGCCTTGGAAGTCTGAATCTGTGTTTTTGAGACTGTAATTGATACACTGAAATTTCAAAGGGATCAGGTCCAAAGCACTTCAGAGGTGAAAAGGCCTCCCCCAAAACACAACCTGGAGACTTGTCGACCATATGAGCTCCTTAGGTGTCTAGATTAAACCCTTAACAGACACATCTCACATCACTATAAGCAGCAGTCCACTTGCACCTGCGAAGACATCAACATTTTCTTTGTTTAAACACATACGACACTGATTTTAACTAAAACAGTAACCAATACTCAACATATCAATAAGTGATAACCTAAGAGCGTTTCACTTTCACACTGACAAGGTAACAAACTTGATTTTCAGCAGATGGTGTATTCAAGACTCTGACATTGTCAATGTCTTCATGTGTTTCGCAAAACAGCACTGAGAAAGATGGATACATTTTAAAGGAATTATGCATTTTAAACTGTACAGTGTGTCACAGTACTGACAAATAGTATTCACCCCCCTGAAAGTTTTCCCTGTTCTTGATTTTCACTATGAACTGCTTTTTTTTTTTACTGCAAGAGTCAAATCAAACAAAATATTTACATTTTTTTAATTTAAAAATGGAAATTAAGGGGTCAAATGTGAAAAAGCCTATGAGACGCTTTTGTTTGTGTGCGTTAAACCAACTTGGATCAGGTCAGAACAAAATTAAAGTCATTAGGTATAACTAAGTGCTCTATACGCATGTGCTTCTCTAGAAGTGAGAATCTGTCTCTGCAGTCGTTGTTTGTGATTCTGGCTGAAGCAGCACATGTGCAGGTAGTCGACAGAATACAGAAACCTGGATTGGATCCACACACGCAACACCTTCCTGCTTTTCTTTAAAAAGGGCTCCGCGTAGCAGATTCAGCTTTATCAAAACTAGATTAAGGTTTTATATCCACGTTCCTGAAGTCTTGTTGCTTTCAAACACAAAAATGTGAGACTGTGCGTATAACGCTGATATTTGTCCTCATACCTGTCAGGACTCAGAGCACAAGGGCTTCATGGATAAACTGTACGCCATCCAGGACGTGTTCATCAGCGTGCAGAACGCTCTGGACGAGGTGGCGTCGCACGGAGAGAGGATAAAGAAGTAGGTATCAGAACATGGCCCTCGTTTTTACTTTATGTTCTGCTCTCCTTTTGCATCATGATGCTATCCTTAAAAGGCAGTTATGCTAAAGTAATAACTCAGACTACGTGAACCTTAAACAAGCTGCTTGAACATCACACTGTTGATTTTATTGTATTTATTGTATTTGTTTTCTGTGTCTACCCATTGCAGCACCGTGAACTGGACAGTGCCTTTTCTGAGCTGGTTGGCGATCACTGCCTTATTGTTAGCCACAATTCTGCTCTACCTCATACCTCTACGGTACCTTGTGCTCGCATGGGGTGAGTTTCACACCACAAGTTGATTATAGATAGATACAGTTAGGTTCATATATATGGACACTGACACAAATTTTGTTTTTTTACCTGTTTAATGAAACATATTCCAATTACAGTTATATAATGGACATGGACATAAAATGCAGACTCTCAGCTTTCATTTGAGGATATCCACATTCAAATTGGATGAAGGGTTTAGGAATTTCAGCACCTTAACATGTGCCACCGTATTTTAAAAGGGACCAAAAGTAATTGGACAATTGACTCAAAGGCCATTTCATGGGCAGATGTGGGCAATTCCTTTGTTATGTCATTACCGATTAAACATATAAAAGGCCTGGAGTTCATTTGAGGTGTGGTGCTTGCATTTGGAAGATTTTGCTGTGAAGACAGTGTGCAGTCAGAGGAGTTCTCCATGCAGGTGAAACAAGCCATCCTTAAGCTGCGAAAACAGAAAAAACCCATGCTACAATATTAGGAGTGGCAAAATCTAGTCTGGTACATCCAGAGAAAGAAAGAAAGCACTGGTGAACTCGGCAACACAAAGCAACCTGGACGCCGACAGAAGACAACAGTGGTGGATGATCACAGAATCATTTCCATGGTGAAGACAAACCCCTTCACAACAGCCAACCAAGTTAGAAACACTATCCAGGAGGTAGGCGTGTCATTGTCCAAGTCTACCATAAAGAGAAGACTGCATGAGAATAAATACAGAGGGTTCACGGTGCAAGCCACTCATAAGCCTCAAGAATAGAAAGGCTAGAATGGACTTGGCTAAAAAACATCTAAAAAAAAAAAAAAAAGCCAGCACAGTTCTGGAAGAACATTCTTTGGACAGATGAAACCAAGATCACCCACTACCAGAATGATGGCAAGAAAAAAGTATGGAGAAGGCATGGTACAGCTCATGATCCAAAGCATACAACATCATCTGTAAAACATGGTGATGGCTTGGGCATGCATGGCTGCCAGTGGCACTGGGTCACTGGTGTTTAATGATAATGCGACACAGGACAGAACCAGCATGAATTCTGAAGTGTTCAGAGACATACTGTTGGCTCAAATCCAGCCAAACTGACTGGGTGGCGTTTCATAATGCAGATGGACAATGACACAAAGCATACAGCCAAAGCAACCCAGGACTTTATTAAAGCAAAGAGGCAGGCAGTGACGCAATTTCTTACCTGCCTCCTTGTTTGTGTGTGTAGCGGCAGCCGCATTGGAGAGAATATCCGCCGCAGCCCCCCCCCCCCAAACACAGTACTGTGACGGGTAACCTAAACCTGCTAACCTAAACCGGTCTTAGTCTGTAAATGCACACTATCTGTCATATATGTTTTCATACATGTGACTTGTACTGAAACACTGGATATATACAGTGTAACAGTGTGCAGCGTGTGATGCAGCTGTGGGAGTCACACCCTGATCTCTTCCCCTCTGTAGGTGTGAATAAGTTCACCAAGAAGCTCCGTGATCCGTACATGATCGACAACAACGAGCTTCTTGACTTCCTCTCCAGAGTGCCCTCTGACGTTCAAGTGGTGAGTAACTGGGCGGTGCAGGAGGGAACGAATGACTGGAAGCTCTGTGAGGTACACTGTCTGTGGAAGCATGTGGAGCTGGTAGATGTTAATGTTGACATTTCCAGGTGAAGTTATTACTTTACAATCTAAACATATCATCAAAGCTCGAATTTTACAGAACTCAACGTCCATTACATTCAGGCCAGATGAGTTCACACATTACTGACTTAACCAGTCCGTTGCAGGTAAATCTCTCAGTATTTCACAGTCCACCAGAGTTTTACATCTGGTGTCCAACAATTGTTGGTCTGCCAGAGATGTCTCAGTGACGGAGATGGAACATCAAGTGGTGACAACAGCAGCTATTATCCAAAACCTGTGAAGCTTTAACAGCATTTGTGAAATCGCTCTCACGACAGAAGGGGGAGACAAAAGTTCCACACTGTAGGTTTAAAGTACAATTTGATTAGTCAACTGAAATATATGCCATAGTATTACTGAAAAGTTGAATATTTGTATTAAAGGTATCTTGTTTAAGGAAGAAAAAGAAGAGGGAGTGTAAGGAGTTCATACGGGGATGAAGAGTGAATGTCTTCAAAGAATTAGACTGCTTTCGACCTGAAATTCAAAGCCCTCCTCAAGTGGAGGTTCTTATAGAGTCCAGTCAGTCTGTCTTGTGTTTTGTTGTTTTGTGTTTGACTGTGATTGTGTGTTCGTTGATGGACAGATGCAGTATCGTGAGCTGAGGGTGGATCCCGGACAAAGCCCCAACAAACGACGGAGGACCAACCTGAGCTAACTGTATACATTTTATCTGTAAACAATGTAAACTACGTTATTTATATATTTCTTGTATATTTTGATTATTATGAGAACTGTTGAGTTGTTGTTTGTTTTGTTACTGTGGGAAAATTTATTTTCTAAATCTTGTAAAGGAGAAAAACGACGCTCTTTGAGGTTTTTTTAAATCCCATTTCTTTCTTGTAAGAATGCTCCACGCAAACTTATAATCCCAGTGACAATGAATGTCACATACTGTACGTACATGTGTGTTATACAGAGTCTGCATGTGATGAAGGTGTGCTGCATGGAAACCGTTGCATTTCCTTTTCTTTTTGTTTTTTTTTACATTTCTGTACTGTTTTGTGTGGATGTATTGTCAGTGTGTGTTTTAAAGATAGAGCTGCATGTTGTTACTGCCGCTGTTATTGCGTGTGATCACAGTATAGACAATGATGCCTCATACTTCATAAACTCCACACGACGTTGCATGATAAATTTACAAATTGCTCCTTTATGTTTGTAGTTAAAAACAGAGAAGTAGCATCAGCTGGGCTTGAGTCAGGGAAACGAGTGTTGCTATGTTGATTTAGACCAAAGAAAAAGGTGCACATGCCTAATTTTACATATTACGTTGAATTTATCCTGAAGAGCAAACCTAGCAAAGGGCCCCAAATCCACAGATATGCTATAGAAGTTTATTAATGGCTAATCATCATCACCTTTCTCTTTAGTTGTCGCTCTCTGTTATGATTGAAGTTATATTATAAGTTTATATTTTCCTCTTTTGTTGTATATTTGTGTTTTACCAAATCGTTTTCACTGTTTTATGCATGTAAAGTAATTAACGGCCAGAAACTTTTGATTGACTTTGTGTTGTTTTGTCACCTGTTTAAGACTGCGACTACCAAGAACTGAGGCCCGGGCAGCAAGTGTTGTGAAGAGTTGCTTTTTTGAGGCTCTAAAGCTACTCGAAAACTCTTAAAAGTTTGCCTCAAAGTGGTGAAACTTTTTTTTTTTGTATGTTTATTTTTAGGGATGTTCCAACCCCGTCTTAGAAATCTGGATTGGAGCCAACCAAGGCATTTTTAAGTGATTGTATCAGTCCAACCCTGAGCCTGATCATTTGTTGATGTGTGGGAAATGAAGAACACACTTCATGGCAAGATGCTACGGATGCAAGTGTTGAGTCATTTTTTAGTAAATAATCAGCAGCCTTTACAGTGGACAATTGATTATTGATAACACAAACTGATCCCAGTGGATGTTTATCCCGTGTGGATGTTGCTGTTTTAGTCAGTGTTAGCATGATATGGGCTCCACATGTAGCTCCATTACAAAGGTCATGCCACATTTTTGAAAAAAGTGACCTTTGACCTCTAGCGGAGCTACTTTTGCACTGATTTAACCAAAATCTAAACTTTCCAAGGAGAGGCCATTCTTAGCTCGTGTGTAAAATATCTAATTGTTAGATCGTAGTACTCGAGCTAGAGACTGTTCACAGACACACAGATGGGACGATAACTTCACAGTTTTCAGTCGTCAGGGGCAACTACAATAACTTTAATGTACTTGAAGTGTGTACAGTCGAGGAAAATGGAATCAGATTGGGATTCAGTATCAGCAGATACTACATTTTCAGTGACTCAGATTGGATCAGAGCCAACAAACCTGATCAGGACACTTCTAGTTCTTTTATGGCCTGACTAGTTAGGCTTAATGAGGCCCGCTGCAAAACTTCATAGTAGCATCCACATTTGGTTTTACTTACATGTACCAAGTTTTGTTGTGTCCCAGTGTTAATACAGCTAAACTTTAATATTGAGTTAAAATCGTATCGACTCCTACTGGACACATTCAGTCTGACCAATGTTACAAACATCTGTTGATTTAAGTTCAGTTTACATGCACGTGTATGGGTGTATTACATGATGTACAGTAATGTAATACGTGTGCACCGCCAAGCATTCCAAGCAGGGCATAACTGATTACTTGTTTGTTATGTGACCTCAGTGGGATAAGAACTGAATGTTTACTGCATACGATTTTTATAAGAGAGTGAAAAAAAAAACATTTTAACAAGTTGCTTTTTTTTTCGTCTGAACAACAGTCAAAAACTCAAAAATGTTTACTGCTGAAGAACAATTTACATTTGAGCACATTTGGCTTGCCAGTTAGATTTCAAAGAGTCCACTGATTGGTTAATTAGCCAATCATCTCAAAAAAACAACAAAACAAAACTGTTAACTCTAAGAGTTCTAGTGTCAGTTTTACTTAAGATCATGTGTGTATTTGGCTTTTTAATGTTTACTGAAGGATTTTTACAACATATAGAGATAAGAATATGTATGTATGATAACAGGTAGATCGATAGATAACCAATTATACATATTATATATAAATATATATAAAAACTTTATTTTGTTTACCACTGCTTTTACATATCATACACTGATGTAAACACCTTAATTCAACGTTTTTGGTGTGAAAACACCAGAATTATACAAGAAATCTTTGGTTTAACAACTAAATCTTTAAATTAAATTTAACAGTTTCACCTATTAAATAAACGAAAATAGTGATCTGATAAATTTGCGAATATATTTTAACTACCTTTTGACATAAAAAAAAAAAAAAGTAAAATAAAACAAGGGAGATTTTATGGTTATTCAAAGTTTCAGCTTTTTTATGTTGCTTTGCATGGTCTACTTTTTTTTTTTTTTTTAATTTGTGTTTAAAACCATTTTTTAAAATTCTCTACAATACAAAGTAAAGATATGTAAAATGACAAGTTTTTTGTTTTTACAGTGTAGATGAAGCTGCTGGTTGGTTTCTGGGGAAAATTATTACAACAACAACAACAACAACAATAATAGAAGCAGATTTAGATCTGGGGATGTTGGTTGAGTCAACACCTTGAGCTCTTTGTCGTGTTCCTCGAGCCATCTTACTGACGTTCCCATGAATGAAACTGATGTCATTTACTTCACCTGTCAGTGGTTTTAATGTTGTATCTGGTTGGTATAAAGCCATAAGATAAACATGAGTTTTAAGAAGGAAATATGGAAATAATGACTGGTAACTGTCATGTGTGGTGGAGGTGACAGTGACTTTAAGCATTTAGCCCTGATTCATCGAAGGATAGTTGTATCAGGTGTTTACAGACAAATGTGCCTCTCTGTGGTGTGTTTGGAAAGGAAAGCTGGAGGCATTACTGGGAGTCTGGATGTAAGAATGCAGCCATATTTTATTTTACCATCACCAGAAGATGTCAGTAGACTCTAGAAGCAGAAACAGCTGATCAGTCATGGCTCCAACAATGACTATTTTCAATATCAATACATTTGAAATATGTTTTTTCTTTTATTTTAAATAGATATTTATTGTTTTTAATGGCATGGCAGGAATACAAACAAGAAAAATAAACTAAAAAAGAGAGAGAAAAAAAGAACGTACAGAGCAAGACTCTGTACTGAAAACACCACACTTGTTTTTAACATTAACATGATTTTAAGTATTAACATTACTTTAAGTATGAGTTAAGAAATTAAGATACTTTATTGCCATTGTCTGTATGCAACAAAAATAAACAGTAAATACCTTATGTGACCCATGTATGAATAAAACAGCGTGAAATAGCAAAATACATACATGTGAAGCAAAAAGAATGTCGTCAAATTCACACCAAACAACGTAAATGTTGAATTGTCTCATAAAAATTGAAAATTTGGTAAATATTCACATTTAAGGGGCTGGGACCTGAGAAGCTTTACTTGTTAACTAGCTCAAATGAATAATTACTTAACAAAAATAACCAGCTGACTGAACATTTCAGCTCTAAAGTCAGTTTCTTTGGGTCTTAGTTCAGTCGTTTTCCCAAATAAGAAACTCAGAGATGTGAAATAAAAAACATCACAAGATCATAAAACAAATTAAAATACAACAAACTCTGTTGTGTTTCTGTCTCGTAATTCAAGTTTAATATGCTGAATTAAAACATCAGGTCACACTGAAAAAAAACTCCGTTATTTATTATTAGTTACACCAACAAAGTGTTTTGGTATTAAAAAGTGAATGAAAACATTACACACACACACACACACACACACACACACACACACACACACACACATATTTACAAAGAGCCTTGATTGTGCTTAAAATAATTCAGTTGCTTGTTGTGTTTCACTTACTGAAGTCATTTATGTTTTAAAGATATAATCCAATGACAGACCTCACAGGATTAATCATGACACAGTAACTGCATATTTGAAAAAGAAATACATATAAAAATATTTTTTCTATTTAGTTTCTTTGATTTCTTTTGATTTTGGCATTTTAAGTTCTCCGTAAAAGGTTCATAGAAGATTTTCCAGGAAGTGGAGTTCATTTAATCTTTACTAATGAGTCTTTTTGTCTAATTCTTTCAGTTTGGTTTCTCTCATTTCTGCTTCTTTGGGCCAAATATCAGAGTGATCAGAATCTGTTCTTTTCTGTGAACCGTGGAGGGCTGGACTGATCTCCTGCATGTCTGTGTCAGCTGCTGCTTGTGAGTGTTGTTGCATGACTGAACATAAACTATATGCAAGTGCATTTATGGATACTGAATGTGAAGTTTATCTCATGAAAACCGTGTTATCGATCTGACATGCTGTTTACTGTCTCACCACCAAACCATCACTTCTGGCACTTTGCACATCTTCTGTTTCTGTTTGGACGCGCTGCTGCTGCTCAGTTCTTACTGCCACTGTGTTCATGTTAAACACAAGACTGACTGTAGTGACTGACAAACAGCTGTCTGAGTAAATATATTTCTACACAGATCCATGTGTCTTGATGTGTTGATTTAAAGTTTGAAAATGGAGGTTAGATGGGAACATTAGAGGAGATATTTGAGTGAAGCATGAAGGATTACTGAACAGGCTTCAGATCCAGATGAAAACAATGCAATCCGTGATGAAGACAGATTCACTGGGGATGAGCGGTATTAGACTCTTGCAGATGGCCACGCTGAGCCTCTCCACAAAGTTTCATTATATTCAGTGAGGTGATTTCTTCCTAAGCCTGATAACAAAGAGACAAATGGTACTGAAGACACATCACTGACTGGTGTTGATGTAATATAATATGTTTCTCTAACTTAGAATAAAGGAGAAACATTTAAAGTTGGATAAACTCAAAGCTTCATAAATGAAATAAAACTGCCAAATTCTAAAGTTTGTTGTCTTGAAATGCTCCGCATTTTTAACCTTCTATTTAATTACATTTTTTTTTAACAGTGTAGTTTATATTAAGCTGAATTGCTTTAAAGTTAGTTTTCTCAAATTGTTCATTTTTTTATTTTATGTTTACCACACAGAAAGTCTCTGGTAAAAAGATGCAACCAACAGTGATACAGGCACATGAACGTTTTAAATATGTTGTTTAATTATTATATTTTTAGTGCGGATAGTGCCTAAAAATATTTTAAAAAAATATTAAGATAATAAATGTTTTATTTTTCACTAATATAGAAAATTAAAGAACATGATCACAACTGATCATCTGTGATATTTCAAAGCAATAATTTAAGTGAAAGAAAAGAGAATAAAATTCAACACATGTCAGAAACTGCTGTCAAGTGATTTTCTCTCAGGGGATGAATTTAATAAATATTGTAGCTGGTTTGGTTCTCTGTGCTTGTGGAAATAATAAAACTGACTTGTACAGTCCTGTTTCCATCCAACCATCATAATGAGTAATTAAGTAAATAAATTAATGAAAATAATAAGTGAAGTAGTTGTTAATATAGCAGCAATAATTGAATCAAATTTAACTCAATTTAACTCAATTTTAAAAAACAAGTTAAGTAAATTAAATGAAATTCTATTTCATTTACTTTCTTTTACAGATACACAGTAGGTGGATGAATTCCTTCTGAATTTCTCAGCTGTAAGTGATTTTCTGCATGAAATCAATAATACATTCTGTACACCAACACGACTCAACATTTAGCTTGTTGGAACATTGTCTCTTTAATTTATTCATTGGACAACATGTTATTGTGGAGACGCCTATGGAGTAGTGAGAATGCCAAACAACAAAAATAAATCAATAAAAGAAAGAAAAAATGAAAGTGGAAATAAAAAGAAGAATAAATATAATAATTAATTTTTTTTAATTGATTTTTAAATTTTTATTTTTTATCTTTTTTTTTTTTTTTTTTTTAAAGATTTTATTATTTTTATTATTTTTAAAGTTATTTCTTGTAATTTTTGTAATTTGGCACTCTCACACCTCCTGGTCTGTCTGCATGTTGTGCTTTGGACCAGCAGAGGGACTCAAACATCACTTTTAACTGAGTCCAGAGCTTGAAACAGCTCAAACAAATACTCATTTACTACAGTAGAAGTACTAATAGTGCAGTTACAAAGTACTTCCTTACAAATAAGAACACTGAAAGCACACTTAAGAAAGAAGTATTTTTAGTGATATGTAGTGAAATTGTTGTAAGAAATCGTTCAGCAGTGAAACGTTCTCTGTGATTGATGATGTGATTCTATCTGACATCATGTGACATGGTTCATACTGAGACATCTCTGTGTCATTTGTCTTGGTATTTTGGTGGCTCTTTTAAAGTCACACCAGATAAATCTGAGGGGCCTTGAAAAGATTTAGGAGCCCAAAGTAGAAAAAACAAAGTTCTGCTGCATTAATTTATATGAAATCTGTTCGTTATGTTTTACTGCAACAATTTGGATCATTTGTATAACAGCTTCAAAATAGTCTCTTTATTTTCTCTTTCTTTTTACAACCACTGACTTAATCTGTTTATCCCCAAAGAAACAGAAATTTCCCCTAAATTTTGTCATTTAAACTTTATGACTGTGAGGCAGTGAGCTCTGTGGATCAGAGACAATAATCCTGATACACAGTAAATATCTTTCTCCTCATCACCAGGTCGGATTGAAAAAACTGCAGCCAAAAGAAACTGCTCATGATCTTATTAAACTGGTTCTAAATAATCTCATCTGCAAGTCCACCCAGTTTGACGCACCAGAAATGAAGCACAACAAATACAGCATCTGTTTT